CTACAGGCCAGGCCCATGCGCAGGTCCAGTTAGGAGATGTTAGTACAATTCTGATATCGGGTTCGTTCAGGTATATGCTGGATGATGCTCAAAAAGAAAAGGTATATGCTGGATAGCTACATGCATGGCCGGGTCATGTGTGGACGGTTGAGTTAGTTGGCTAGTTGTGTGCATGTGCGTGTGCATGCATAGTTAGTTAGTGGGTGCGTGGTTTAGTGGCACAAAACCAGGCCAGGTTTGTCTCCCCGGCTGTGTGCGTGCGTGAGGCTATTTCGGAAAAAGGGTTTCACCGGTTTTGTATTAGAAAGCAACCAACACCGATACAATCAACGATAAATGCTGGGACGAAAGCAGCACATTCATGTCTAAAAGAAACGAAAGAGAAAATGCAAAAGGAACAGATACAGAACAACGGCGATTCAAAAAAACGAAGAAGTATCGCAACCGCCGCACCCACCGGAAATCTTCCACCAAGAAGCGCCGGTACCAATCAACACCTTCAAGAAGGGACGCGACGATAACGACGCTGCTGCCAAGAGTTTCCCCCAGTATGCGGCGAGGAGAAGGGAAGGGTAGCCTCGACGCCCTCCAGGAAGGTCTAGCGGCACCCTCAGGCGCCACCGCGTCGGTGTCGGCCAGGACGGCAGTGATTTCTCCTGATCCCAACCGTCACCTCGGGTGCTCCAGAGCTCGCCACCACACTGTCCACCACCCTGTGCCAACACGGTCTGGAAGCTTCCCAAGTCGTCTCACCACGGCACCGTGAAGTGGGGCCTGCACAACAAAGAAGAGGAGCTGAGACTAGGGCAGCAGTACCGTCGGCACATGACAGGGCCCAACCTCCACCGTCAACGACGGTAACCAACCGGACGCAACACTAAGATTATATATAACAGGCCCGTGGGCCCACAGGCCCTGACATGCCCCTAAAGCTCCCGCCGTCGCGCTGCAGAAGGCATGCCATCGGCACCGCAGTCCCCTGTCCGAGCTGCTCCTCCTCCCCATCTCGCAGCAAGCGTCAAAGCCACGCCGGAGCCGGCCCGCGAGGACCCATATCTGGGCCGGGAGCGCGCCATCAAACACCGCCTCCTGGTCGCCGGGCTGCCTCCCAACCGAGCCTCACCGCCACCGTCCCCTGCCCCTGGAAGGAGAGCCACACA